ATGGGTTTTTTTTTAACGAAAACTGCTATCGTTTATACAGCAGTTAAAGTTTAAGTTGCATCAGCCCCCTACTAGACTCAATACAGATAATTCCAAAAACCTAACTCGCACTTAACCATCAACTCTCGACTTGGCTGAAAAGAACATTATTCAAGAGAAGATGAGAGATTAATTTTCACACGACCCAGAACCTTGACCTTAAAGTAGGCAATTCTAGTTCCTGAGCTGCTGAGACACGGTTCATGCTGGGACAGAGAGTAAGCCATGCTGAAGATCCCTGGTCTTTATTAATCGCACTTTAGAGCAGCTGATTTCATACCCAAGCTAGTGCTCAAGACTTTGCAGTGCTCAAAAGTTAAATCGATGAACTAGTTTTGGGCGCTTTGGTAAAGATGATGAAGCACCATCAGCTTCTATTATCATCATATCAATGAACTTTGGGGCAGCTCCTATGGAGAGCCCGGATGTTTTCTGTTTTATGGCTAAAAACAAACCCAGCCGCACTGACGCGACATATTTTGTTCTGAAGGTTCTGAGGTTGCACGAAAACAAATACACCATACTCTATTTTCTGTATAACAAAGAAGACAAATTGGGGAAATATGTGGTACCTGTCCCCTATTTTGGTCATATATTACTAAGTCAGCTAAAACATAAAACTACACGTTTGGACATCAGGTGTCTAGCAACATAATTTAGCTTAGTATTGGGCAAAGCATCAGCACTTACAAATATTTTACCATTGCGGGATTCAGAGCTACAAAACTTAAAATACAAGGATTTAAAACGGATTTGACCCCGGTGAACGGTGAAAGTCCAGTTTGGTAAACTGGCAACACCACAAAGGTTTTTACACTAGACGTAACTCAAACATTTGCAACATTGTCCCACCGAGGTCGCTTTATTTTCAGGGGGGGAAAAACAACAGAAAATGTTTAATGCACCTCACGCGCTCATAACACCTCTTGCAGTTGCGAGCGCCGTAAAACACTTACCAAAACAAACGAAGAGAAAAAAAGATGCCTTATAATTCATTCCAGTGGTAAAGTATACTGCTGGCCTGTAAAAGACAATATTGTACACGCAATTTTGTTCACTTTTAAAGAAATAAGAATATTCTTATACCAGTTCACTAAAAAGGGATGCATGGTTAAACATAATGGAGCCTAATTCGATTTTCGACAAAACGTCTTAGTGAAACAATGTGCTGTGGGTAAGCTTGAATAAACAGTCTGTGTTTATTACTGCCCATAGCTCTGGAATAAATTCTTCAAGCATAACTAAGAGATAAACTCTTTATGAAGATCCTATTTTATATTTGTCAGGAATTATCTATCAATCCGAAGAAACGGTGCCAGTGCAGTAATCTGCACGTGTTTGTGTGCATGCCTGTATGTCTGTGTTTGTGTGTATGTGTGTTTGTGTGTGTAAGCGTGTGTGTTTTTATGTGCGTGTGTGTGTGTGTATGTGTGTGTGTGTGTGTGAGTGTGT